AAATTTGCCACTGAACCTCCACCAACCTCACTCCAGAAACACGGTATCCGCCTTTTAAAAGCATCTGTCTGGCTCTCTGGCGAAGGGAAGGATCATTCCGCTGTGCAACAGGGAAAAACGTCCTGCGCCCTTTGCTAATTACTTTATGTGTGCTTTGAAAAGAGGAGAGCGGGTGAAAAGCGGGACTTTTTTGAAATGCTGCGGGACGCGGGACAAATTATTAATAATCAGGACTGTCCCACCAAAAGCGGGACGTCTGGTCACCTTGCCCATAGATAATTTCCATATTAGACACAAAACCTTTCAAACTCTTCAGTAAAAATGTGAAAAATATCCATGGTTTCAAACAATGTAAATGACAAACAATTGTTGGAGTCTACGCAGCATCAATTAGTTGTTTAATTATCTATTGACCATAGATAAGAAAGAGGAAAGAGGAAGTTTTTAATAATGACTATTTCTGTTGCAAAATAAATGACAAAGGCCACACTGTAAAAGGTCTTAAGCCCACATATCTCGTCCACATTCTGAAAGCTTTGCCTGTCTTTCTTATTTTAGGTTGATTGATTACATGCTGTCAAGTTGGTGTCAACTCTTAGCGACCACATAGACTTATTATAGGACAGCAATGTAAAGAAAAATGAGAATGTGCTTAAAAAGTGCTTGTTCACAAATAGACTAAGTCCTTAACAAAAGTGCCTAAAAATAGAATTTTCTGCCTTCAGAACTTGTTTCTATTTCATTAATTTGTTAGTGCAGAGAAATTTAATAACCAAAAAGTACACAAAAATATTTAGGATAAACCGAGAAAAAAAATATTTGTGTGCTAATTGACACCATAGATTACTTGATAGTTTAGACTGCCTTACCCCTTCCTCTGCTTTGAAATGAAATAGAAATAAATTGACTATAACAATATTTTCATTAGAGTACAAAATGACACTGACAACTCATCCAAGCAACTCAGTGAGTCTGCTGTTCTATAAATTCCTTAAAATTAGAAGTTTATACAATATTATTCTTATCTGACAGTCTTCATCAAAATAAAATTTTAATTCAAGTTAAAGCTAAAATAAAAGGGAGTAGAAAATCCACAAAACTTTTGATAAAAACTGCTAACACAGTTATATCCACAAATATAACCACAAATAATTGAAACATCCACCTGTTTTTCAGAATTCCAGACAGGAGAGGTATCTTGGATCTATAGCAATTTGATGTTTCTGATCTAATTTCTGTGTCTTATTATAAATAAATTGAACATAAAGACCATTGACATTTACAATTGTTCTATAGCAATAAATAATATAATTGCCTATCATGCTAAACCTCAGTGGCTCCGTGCTGCTCATTTTCAAAATGAAATGGGTAACCTATAAACAAACAAAATAATGTACTTCAATGCATTGAAAAGAAATTTAAGGTATGCAAAGTCCATGGCATTTAAAAATACACTGCACTACCAGAAATAGTGCATGCATGTTCTTAGCTCGTATAGCCATTTGTATTCCCCTAAACTTTAGGTTCACAGCAAACATATGCACCATTACAATAAACAGAAGACAGAAAAATCCACTTAAATACAATATAATCCTTTGTAACTTTGATTTACATTTTGTATTCTCCAGAAATCCTTGAAGACATAATGAAGTTTAGAAACATAAAGTACAATGTAACATATAATCTAGTTTGAAAGATGTATTCTAACAGGGAGGGGGGAGCTGAAGGCCACCTAGCTCCAGCTAGAACAGAAAGGGGGATTGAACACATAGATTTGCGTGGAAGGGCTTAATCCATTCACAACATGTACATGTACTGATCCCTCATAAATCTAGAAAACGGCTACGGTTTTATTTATGAGAGGGATACTGTCCAACAACAGTGGGCAACTGTCTAAAAACTTGAAGGAGGAAAGTCATTGGCCAATGGCAGTGAGCCAGATCAAGTAATCAGCTACCTTGGCAACGGCTGCCTCAGAAACCATGCTTTTTAGAGAGCTAGCACAGACCTACCCTTGCTCTTGTCCTTTTATATTATTCCTTACAAAACAGAGGAAACCATCTCCTTGGTACTTCCTTTCATTCTCATTCCTAAGATCTTCCATCTAGATGAGAAGCAAGTCCAGGAAACCGATTTGGGGGGTGGGTGGCCATCTTGGGACGCTGCCAATTCTGTGACCCAGGCCAAAATACCACTACTAGTTCGGCCGAACCAGGAGCAGCCCACCTCTGTTATAAACATGTAATTGGGCAAGTTACAAATCATTTAAAGTATCAGTTTTACTTATAAAAACTTCTAGGATTCAAATGATGTGTTGATTTAGTTCAAACTAGGGCTACTGTATTATACAAACATGAAAACCCAGTCAACAATGTAGCAGGATTTTAACCCAAGCAGGACACAAAATTGTTTGGAGTTAAATTTGGGTTACCATATGTAGCCTGTAGAAATCTGGACAACCATAAAATAACAGCAAAGAGCTTTCTCCATACTTTTTTTCTGTGGTGATCGAGATTGCTGCAGCCTAACCATGGTAATCCTAGTTTACTTGAGATACTTCTGCCTGTCTTCACTGACATGCAAGCCAAAAGCAACCCTGAGGACACCATCTCTAGTGAGTTTATTTTTGATCCCCTTCCCTCAGGCATAGGAATTCATTTTCAACCTGTCAGTTTCTCCCATTGCAGACCATGTACCCCTCTAAATTGTTGTGAGGAATGGAGGAGTGTATGAAGTTCCTTGAGTTCTTTGATGCAAATCCAACCAAAAAAAAAATGAATCAAAAAGAACCTGGAAACTAAATCACCCTGCTATCTCTCTGTGATGCTTCAGACCACAAGATGATCACTGTGGGATTTTCAGTTTTTCATTAACATGTTTAAAAAATGCAGCTGAGATCCACTGATGATTTGCTGGTGGATCCCAGATAAGTCTAGCCAACACAGCCACTGCAGTCAGTCACTCTTCAAATTCTCAAAAATCCAAAGCTGATGTCATCTTTTGGAGTCCGCTTTGGATTCAATACTACTTAGTAAAATTTCTTCTTGTGCTCTTACCTTCATTAACTGGAGAAGCATGCACTCACTAATTATATAAGTGGATTTTCTGATTCAAACGCTTTTCCAGAAGCTCTTTTCACATCCTTCCAATATGTGATAATGAGCCTCAGCAGGTGCTCCCCCCTCACATGATGTTATGTTTTGCTAATAGTTAACAATCATAGAAGGAAACATATTATATAACTTATTGCTGCATTTGCATTTAGAAAAGCTGTACAGAAACAATAATTATAAAGATGCTTTACCAACAAATTGAAGTTTAAATGTTTTATGACAAGCAATTTGGGAAAGAAATGTACAGGGTCTTTTTTTTTTTTTACATTTGTACATTTTGCCTTTAATCTATTTACAGGTTGGTTTGTTTTTAAAGGTACAATCCACTTTTTATCTTTTTTCTAGCAATTAAAACTGAAAACAAATAATTACATATCAGCTTAATGAGAAATATAAAATATTTAAATTAGCATTTAATTCTGTAAGTTAGAAATCCAGTTCTCATTCATGAATTTCTCATCTGAAACAATTTGGAGAATACTTCACATGAATGTACACAAATAGTTATACATGTATACTATGCTACTAAAATGTATCAATATCAATTTAGCAAGAGGCATAACTGTAACATCCTTTCAACCCAGGTACATCTGTGCAGCATGTGAAGTTATTCCTTTCTTTGTACTTTTTACTACTTGAGTATTCGGATATGGATATGCAATGCAACTCCTTTGTAACTACCATTCTGCCTGCCCCAATTTTCATACTTACCCTATGCCTAACTTGCAGACCAACCACAAGTCAAGATTGCTTCAAAAATTCCTGTAGAAGTACAGCCAACTGAACAATCAGTACAATGAGTACCTGATTACCAATCAGCTTTCATATCTCAGCTATTATCCTAAAACGTCATTTGGTAGAATTCAGCACATCTAGTACCAGTATTTAAATATGAACTGCAGCAGGGGTGTCAAACTCAAGGCCCGGGGGCCGAACGCGGCCCACGAGGTGCTTAGATATGGCTCATGTGACCACCCTGGAAAAAACAAAGGACTGGCCCACGAGCCTGTCTGCCAGCCCCATCCTGAGCTCTGTTTTCACTGGCAGAGGGTTGCAGGAGGCCTTCCCAGTCGAAAACGGAACTTGATCGGGAGCCCGTTTTTGCTGGCAGAGCACTCGGGCTACCACAGGCACCTCTGATATGAGTGATGTCAAGCTAGCCAAATCCACCCTGGCCAATCACAACCCTGATGTGGTCCTCAATGAAATCAAGTTTGACACCCCTGAACATACATACCCCTAAGGCAGTGTTTCTCAACCTTGGCGACTTTAAGTCCTATGGACTTCAACTCCCAGAATCCCCCAGCCAGCACAGCTGTTGAGAAACACTGCCCTGAGGTATGTTCACTTTAGCATAAACAGTGCTAATATACAGCATATACAGTGCTATATACACAATATAGAAAATAGCCTTTGACTTCCTTAAAACATAGAAGGATCTTAGGAGCCCAGATCTGGTACCTATGATATTAAGGTAGTACAACATCTATAGGTAAAGACTGGACAAACCTTATCTATTTCTTATTCAACAACTACAAAACATAAACACACCCAAGGATTCATGCTGCATTAGTATACTTCACAGGTGTCAAACTTGCAGCATCACGTTGCCGTCATGTGATGTTCCGCGACGTTTTCCCCTTTGCGGAGCTGGGGTGGGTGTGGCCTACGCGTGATGCATACGGCCCACGGGCCACCAGTCTGACACCCCTGGTATACTTGTTTGCATAATTCATCTGAATCATGGCACTGACGCCCATGCCAAGCACTTTAAATGCTTTTAAATGCCTGAATGAACGGCAGCACCAATTCACCATCATTTTTCAGGAGAGCAAGTTGCAAAATATTACACAATCAGCAATGAACAAAATGCAGTAGGTTACTTACAGTCGTGACAATGCTTGGTTATTCTGGAAAATGAGCTCTGGCATAGTGTGTAGCTGGTTCCTATTTAGCCGTCTAGAGAAATGGAAGGTGGAGAAAGAAATCATCATAAGCATTCTTGGATACATTTAGAAGCAGGAGGACTTCCTCAACCCAAGGATATTATGCTACTGCCTACTACATGTAGCAATTCAATTATTTTTGTCAGTTTTCTGCAAGATATCTTTAAAATGTTATGGCTAGAATGGAATAATGCTTCCCTGGTCTTAAAAAATAATTTTCCTAGTCCATATTTATTAATCTCTCTATGCAAATGGACAGAGATATGTGCAATAAAACATGAACATTAGGCAAGGATTACCAACACAAACCCTGTAAAATGTCTACAGTGAAATATCCTAATTTATCAGTGATGCAGTATAACCTTCAATGTATCTCATGTTGTCAAAGCTACTGGTAATGGTTTCCACTGAATACTCCAATTATTTGAGGGAATAGCCATCATGAAAGTCAAGATTTTCTTTTTCCAAGCATTGATTCCATAGTGTCTCTAAATTAGATACCAGTGGCATAACCTACATAGCCCAATTGGTGAATGTAGGCTTACTATCTAAGTTTTACAAAAGGGGCAAGGTTTGGGTTATGAAACTGTATCTGCTGTCTTGCTTCTTTAGACAGCCCCATCCTTACCCATCAGTGCTGTTGGGAGAAAATCCTACTATATTTGCAAAGACGACTCCAAAGCCTTCTTGACAATAATTAGTATTTGTCCTGTGTATATTTTATGCTGTAAAACAGTGCTAGATTCAGATTTAAATTCCAATACATCGTATCGGTTTTCTATTCATGTTTCACAATGTCAATGTCTCATAGCTTTCTGGTTTGGACATACTGTTCAGCAAATTACTCCTATTTAGCGTCGGCATGTATTTGAAGATTTAGAAGATAATAAATGATGAAAAAATTAATCACCAAATATTGTAAATAGAAATTTTGAATATAAACACCATAACATAACTACAATATGCACATGCATAGTTTTAGTTTTATTACTCAGATTGCAAAGTATGTGTATTTTAAATATATACTTTTGGACTATTATCAAGACTGACTTAGATTAGAAAAACTTTAGGGTCACCTTGAATGTACCCTAATCGGCATACGTTGAAATGAAATTTCGTTGTATACAGCTCTCAAAGGGTCACCACCTCCAATATACACCACATAAACATGACAAAATAAATAAATACAAAACTATGCATATACCACATATATTATATGACACAGAGAAACCACACAGTTCAGATGTATACATGTACATGGCAAGAAAAATGAATCTTGTGAGTTTACCAGATGGTTGGCATAGGGATCAAAGCTGTTACAGAATCTGGAAGTCCTGCTAGAAATACTTTGAAACCTCCTCACAGAGGGGAGCAACAGAAACAGACCGTAAAGTAGGTGTGTGGGATCTCTACAATGCTTTGAGCTCTAAGCAAATAGCACTTATAAGAAGTATCCTGAATGACAGGAAGCAAGATTCCTATAATCCTCTTGGCTGTCCTCACCAATCAATGTATGGACTCGCTCTCTGAGGCATTGCAGCCACCAAACCAAACAGTTGGTTAAAATACTCTTAATCGTGCCTCTATAAAAAGTGGTCAGGACAGAAGGAGAAAGATGTGCTCTCCTCATTCGACGCAGGAAATGGATGACGTGTGGAGAGAGCAGTTCAGATTGTTAGTTATATGCACCCCCAGATACTTAATATTGTTGACCACCTCTACAGCTGCATCCTTTATACTGAGTGAAGTATTGTTGTGGCCCGCCAGCGACCAGCAGAGCTGGTGGCAGACTCAGACAGTGAGTAGGTTGGGGAGGAACATGGGCCAATCCTGGAGTCTGGGGAGTGCTCTGGGCTCTGTGTCAAAGGCAGAGATGGGGCCAGGGCTATCCGGCAGTTATCAGCTACCTTCAGAGTTGGAGATAAGTAGGGTTGAAGAATAACTGGAGCCTGTTGCCAATGTGCATGCACAGAGCTGTCAGGAGAAGGGAACAATTAAGGAACACGAGTTGACTTGAGAGTAAAGGCACAAGGGGATGCTGAATAGCCCCTCCCATAGGAAATAAATAGAAGCAAAAGGGGAGACAATTAGTTCGTTAGTGTGAAGATTTGCTTAAATGAGAGACTCCTTGCCAAGTATTTTCTTGTACAGCATTGAGTCTGGAAGCTATCAGCCTGGCAACTATCCAAGGACTGATAAGG